ACATCCTTGGTGCAGACAAGCTAAAGGAACAGTCTGGGGATGATTAACACAGCATCTCTGAATCCACCTGATATGCTCCACATTGATTAGGCTAGATGCTCTCTACATGCATGGCTGCCTCTTCAAAGAGGCCTACACCAGTCCTACTCTGCATCAGCTCTTGCCTCCAAGCACCCACCCTGCCTGAGTTTCTGCCTTGGCTTCCCATAATGGACCGTGACTCAGGATACATAAGCCAAGCAAACCCTTTCCTCCCCAAGTTGCTTTTGGTCATGGTGTTTCAGCACAGCAATAGTAACCCTAAGACAAGCCTTATCAAGCAGTAACTATTCAGTGAATGTCAAGCTATGCCCCCAATGCCCCCCCACCAGAGTGGCAACTGGGTTACCACTGAGCTCCTGGTACCACCATTTCTGCTGGGGCAGTAGTGGGAAAAGCTGTGTAGAACTCAGACTGTGGACAAGGCCCTGTAGTAACTCTCTCAAAGGAAGTTGGCTTCCATTTCCTTGGAAGAATTCTCACTGATTCCCGGGGATGTGTGGTAGTAGCAGCTGGAAGGAAACACGGACCCAAAGACTTTTTGCTGTATCAGAAGACCAGGCCTAGCCACTACTGCTATGAGGTTTCAGCTAACGCTGCTCATGAAGCTCTTCTGTGGGTAGGGTACTTATCTCCATCCCTAGTTATTGTCCATCAGATTCCCCCCTCTTGAACCACTGTTACTATCAAGAATGTCTGCAGGTATCAATGACTATCCCCTAGGGGATTAAAATCACACCTGGCAGAGAACTAGTGGTCTGGAAGATTCTAAGCATGGCTTTGGCTATCTGTTTCAAACATTCCTAGACTTTTGCCTGGTGGTGTTAAGGGGCCTGCTGGCCTTCAGGCATGAAACTCACTGTTCCCTGTCCTGGTAACTGGGCTGTCCCACTTCTAACGGGTCAGCAGCTACCACCGGAAATAGCTGATAGCCAGGAACCAAGGAGGCAGAGTACAAAGTTATATCCATTCTGATCAGGAGGGAGAGAAAATCCGCCTTCCCCCTGTGGCTGGCTTCCCAGGAAGCTCCTGCTTTCTCTCAGACCACATGCAGAGAAGGGAGCCTGGGTCATCCTTCTAATGAGGCTGCCTAGCATGGCTTATGGAGCAGACCCCTTGCCCTGCAGGGGGCTGAGACAGGAGTGTCAGGCTGTGAGACGTGAGAGCACAGGGGCTGAAGGTTGGCTAACCAGGGGACGTTTCTCCAATGCACGGAGCTCTGGGAGGGACTGACAGAGGGGCGTTCAGGATCCATGGGAGAAGAGCAACCACCCGTCTCTTCCATCATATAGCTCCCTAAAAAAGCAATAACTATAAAAAAGACAGGTAATTTGTATGCTGTCTTAATTCTCCACCGGAGTCCTGCTTTAGAAAACTAAACAAAACCACAGAAGGAAAAGAATGTAACAAAGACCTGTGTGAATGTGGATACTTGCTAAGGGTGTGCTCTCATCATGTCATGGTTCTCAGGGAATGAATGTCAGGTAGGAGGCATGAAACACGTTCTAACCCCACCCCCCATTAAAATTGCATAAGTTACCAAGCAGTGTCACACTACTGCCACCTTCTGGTCAGGCCCTAGAATTGCCAGTATAATATCCATAGACAAAACAAACAACAAATCCCCCCCAAACCATCAAATGAAAACAAAACAAAGACACTGAAGAAGTTATGGTCCTTATCCACAGGGACAGCATGATTTCTGGAGTTCTTCTGTTCTTAAATTCAGGGTTGCTGACCTTTCTTGGATGAGGTACAGCAGAAACTATAACAACAAAGCAAAGTACAGAGAATTACCAGAACTATGGCACATTAAAATAGCCATGCAAAACATTTCCACGATGGGAAAAATACATGAAAATTATGAAACTCCAGCACTTCCATATCAGGACCCACTGACTACTAACCATAGAACCATAGATCCTAGCAGGAAAGCATATAATTGACTGGAGCGCCCCCCCCCCCCCCCC